CACACACACACACACACGATAGATAGATAGATGGATTGATAGATAGATAATTTGCATGTTCTTTTCATGCTTTCACCAGGTACTCTGGTTTCCTCCCACAGTCCAAAAGCAAGCATGATGTGTGAAATGGAGATTGAAAATCAATAAGTGTGCGCAATTTACAAGACAACTTTATTTATAAAGCACTAATAAACACACAAAACCCACCACTGACCAAAGTGCTGTGCACTGATACCACATAAAAGCAAATATAAAAACAAATCAATGGAAACAATACAAATAATGAACCATTAAAATAATTAAAAAACAATGTACAATAGACCAATAAAAACAATAGAAAATAAAATTCACCATCTCAAACTGAGTGAAAAGCTAAGGAGAACAAAAGTGTTTTCAGAGAAGATTTAAAAACAGGATGGTCAAAGGTAGCTCATTCCACAGTTTAGGGGCAGCAAAGGAGGATGCTCGGTCACCTCTCAGCTTCCTGTTGGTGTTTCGAACGACCAACGGCAGCTGAACTGAGAGAGCATGAGGGAACGTACAGCTGGAGCAGGTCAGACAGATACTGTGGGCGAGACTACAAATACTTTTTTCAATCAAAGTTTTTTTTTTATTGATTTTTGATTTTAACACACTAACAGAAAACACAAACAAACACCCTCTCCCACCCCTCCCCTCCCACACCAGATCAGTCTAACACACAAAATAAATTACACAGGTATTGACATGCTTTCCACATACAATACGAAAGGCCACCAAGTGTCCTACAATCTTTTTACAGAACCCTTCAGGGTATATCTATTTTTTTCTAAATGTACATGATACATCACTTTTTTATATGAACATGTGCTTGGGGTGTGGGTTCTTCCAACAGCACAAAACCAGTCGTCTGGCCGAAAGAGAGCCAAAAGCAATCACATCCCTCTCGCATCTGCTGAAGGGAGTATCCATAGAGACCACCCTGAACAGTGAAATGAGCGGTGATGAGTGAATATTTTTTCCACATATCCCAGAGAAGGAGTCAAATATAGATTGGCAAAAAGTCCGTAGATTGGGTCAGGTCCAGAATGTATGCAGGAGTGTAGCTGGAGTTAGTTTACAACGATTGCATGCGGGGTCCAGGTCTACTTTGATCTTGGACAGCTAGTCTTTGGACCAGTGCAGATAGTACACTACCTTGAATTGAATTACAGCATGTCTCAGACAGATTGAAGATGAGTAAATGTTCTTAATGATCTTTCTCCAGACTGAGTCTGATGGATTTCTCCAAGACCATTTCCCA